AGATTAAACTCTGTGCTGAATTCTGCTGCCCTTTTTACTCAAAAAAACAAAAGCAAAACAGAAAAGTCTCCTATTTTGGCCAAATCCTTTCACATCTGAAACATTTACTGCTCTACTTACAGTTTTAAGGTGACTTTCATGGTCCTGTTGACCTCAACTCCACAGAATATATAGAAACATTGTACATGTGTATCAAAATCCCTCCAGGCTGTAATATTAAAATGCTTTTTCCACACACTGGCAAATCAACAATGCTGGCGTCGCCATCCCCAGACCACCAGTAACCAGTACATTTCTTGTGACCCAGAGTCTGACAGGAACTGCGGTTGAGGTTGAAACTCCTGCGGTTCTATCTTAACCTTAGTCTTCAAAATGAATGCATGCAGTGTGGTGGCAGGATGTGGTTTTGTCATATCTCCCTTGTCTAAAAACTTGAACTGAAACTTCAACAGGGTGATGATGTTTGCCGGGAGACAGAAGCTGCTTAAAGAGAGATCTCTAAAAGGTGGCGGCAGAAGAGATCTCTATTTGTGACAGAAGAGGTGACCGCTCTACCTTCAGCCTTGTTAATAAAGCTAAGATTTACAAAGTCTAAGATTTACACTTGAAAGCAGTGTTTGTATTTTAAACACAACTTGTTCATGATTGCAGATTTATCCAAATTTAAAATCAAAATTTAAATTGAATAAAATCAGCTCAGTTGCATTAAAGACCGCATTTTAATGTCAAACTTTATTTAATGTTTAAAACTAAAATCTTACTACACCTAGTTTCCTTTGAACTCCTTGAAACGAGCGACTCTCACATCTTAGCTCATACAACCCTTAGATGTTTTCTTGGAAGTTGGAAGTCATTTTCAGTGTTGTTAGTTCCACACAGATAATTCATTTAGCTCAGACTAGAGCCACGTTACTCGTCGGGCCTCAGTTTCTTCATACTTCTGGATTGCTGTGATCTTACCAGCATTCATTGTTGATGAAAGTTTTAATTTGATCTTTGACTCATCTGTTATTTGTTCTCCTTCTCCCGGGTTTGAAGC